CGCTACGCACTACACCCAGAGTTTTCCGATAGGAAGACAACACTATATGTATAGATCTATACGGGGCAGACGCTATTACATCCCGAGTGTTAATTTCAGTCCGATCCGCACAGGTCCAGGGATGCCACTACTTCACTACATTGTGTATGACCGGGAAGGTCATGGGGTCCGTTATTACTCACACTATTGGTAACATACAAGAAATACACTATAACCGCACTAAAATACTAAACTAAAGGTAAAGTTAATATCCCGAAGTAAACAAGTATCTAATACTAAAGGAAGTTGCACCACCATTAATGACTTCAAATATAACTTACCATATTGCATTACTTATTGTTGAGTCACTATTATACTTTCACGATAAATGGTTTTCAAAGATGAAAACGACATATTTCTTAAAGGTTCTCACTTACTATGCATTTCTGGAAAATATAGGATTTTCTAAGTTTTACTACTACTTATGAATGTAAATTTTAGCTTTTCATACTATCGATTCTAATGCTTTTTATACGAAAACTCACACTAAATTCTTATGAACTCACCAGCTTTATGCTGATATTCGTTTTCAAAATAACTTGTATCCTCAGGTCAAAGATAGACAGGTACAGGTGCAGCATTTTGGAGAAGGTGGAGCATACAAGATCCATCTTTTATTTTTGTATTATTTTTGTTGTTTGTTGAACATTACAAAACACACTTGTAAATACACTCACTATGTAAACAAAATGGTTGTATGTTTCTTGTTTTTACTATTATGCAATTGTGATGATACTGTACACTATGTCCTCCACCCCGAAACGTATTCCGCCGTTATCGGTTTTGGGGTGTGACAACCTCAATAGTGTGGAATCCTCAAGTGGAATCACAAATCACCAAAACACCTTCGAAGACTTTAGAGAATATGGATACTTGGTTCTCTCTAGTGAAATTGGCTAGCCCTTCTTAGTGTACCACACTAGTCCCAATTTCACCAACCAATGACATCTTTATAAAGTATGGAGACTAGGGTTAAACCCATGACCTTTAATTTCATATGATCCATGGGTTAAACACTCCATGGACTATCCATGAAAGCTTAGCCCAACCTAAATGAACTTGGCCCATTCCATATATATAAGAGTCCATATTTAATTAGTTCATTTTGATCACTTAATTAATTCTAAATTAAATCTTGATCAATACTAATTAAATAATATGATTCCATATTAATATATTACAACTTATAATATATTAATATTAATCATAAATATACTATTCTCAAAAGACTATCCATATAAATTGTGTTAGTGAAGTGCAAGCCAAATGGACCATGTCGGGTTGGGTCAAGTACATACCAAATATAGTTATGGACTTAGACATTAATCTAACAGTCTCCCACTTGGATAAGTCTAAAGCTATTATTGAGTATGACTTCAAAACCTAACTGGAAATCGTAGCTCTTAAAGCTGCTGTCAAACTCTGATCTTGTCAACGAACTTGTCCATTAGATAAGGGATCATATATTCCTCCATTCTAGATATCATATGGACTGAGGCATGGATTATAGTCATTCTCTCTGTCCATTTGTTATTTCCTGATTTCCGATTCATGACGACTGACTAATTGAACAAATCAAATTAGTCCTGGCTTGACCAAGCACTCACATGTGTCATCATTAAATCATCGAGGGGCCCACATATATCACTTTTATCCCGAAGGTAAAAGGAATGGATAAACTTCGACTCATATGGCTTGTTCTACTACTTGTTGAATCATACACAAAGGCACATTTTATAACACCGAGTTACTGAATGCATTTTCGTGCAATCAATGTACAACCAACTCATAGTAACAAGTCATATCTCTAGGTTTGAAGAATATCAGATATTATCGTCTCATGATCACTCGTGATAAAATCCATGAAGTGATTCCAATGAGCGTGGGTTGAATCCAATACTCAGAACTTATGAGCACTCATGAGTGCTGTAGCCCTTTGTCCAACATCTTAGACCTCTACAAGCCAACCCATGACAGTCTTGATTCATATCTACTTCCAACATATGACCGACTGTGGATGGTTTGAATAACTTAGTCATTCCGGAAGAATAACCCAGTTTATTCTGGAAGTCAAAACATGCAAAATGAAACACAATAATAATTGAATCCAATATGGTATCAAAACCTATGAACATAAATAAAACACCTTTTATTTATCACCATATGATACTATTTCAGCAATTAACTTTATTCTTGAATTTAAAACAATAGTTGTCCCATGCTCCAAGCATGTACACTATGTTTTCTAAACACTAGTCATGCCATACACCAAGTATGCATACTATGTTTGTCTATGATCTTTACTTTGTGAACTAGATCTATTGAACAGAACTCCAATGATCCTCTTTTCACAGTCCTAAATCCTTACTGCAAATGCAAGAATTTCAAATTCATGCGATTTACTGAAATCTGTTAGATTCTAAACTTATATGCATTGATCCTCTTGTAATGATTGTGCACGAAGTTAGAAAGACTTGACAACAACCATTACAGAGCATTCCAAAGGAGATCAGCTCCTTATAAACATCCTTCTTGCATTAAGTTTCCTAATCTTAAACATATTGAAAAATTCTAACTTTGAAACTTTTCCAGATTCCATTTTGACTGTCACTTCTGAACAAGAGCTACCTCCTTACAGATTATGTCAATATGATCCTTCCAGAATTATCACTATACTTCCAACTGTCCTTGACTAAACTTTATCAAAAGGTCTAGAATTGCACATGCTCCACTAACGACTTTGAGAATGCAAATTTTACAATTGTTATCTAGCTAAAATCTACTTAGTGAAAGAGTTTGCTTACCATCATTTTCATGAATCGGAGAGAAACCTTATGACACTTAGATTTACTGGTGTATGTGTTCTTATCCATGTAAATTGTCAAGACCATAGTCACAAGAGAAGGATAATGACAAATCATTACTCATATGGACTGAACTCAATCTTGATTTCTTGCCACCTGGCAGCTCAAGGGCCTGTCATTGCTTCCAAGTTGTGGTGCAACCAATTGAGAACTCTAAGAACTCATATGCAAAGCCAACTTTAACTGGAATGGGCATAGAATATGTCAACATGATAGGTTATAAACCTCAAGTCGTGTGCTAGTGAAGAACATCAGGTTTTATTCTTGATTAGTTCTTGAGACTTTCAAGACTTTAAGACTCCCACTGTCCTCTTGACCTATAATACTCCCTTGTCAAACATCCAAGAGATAGTGTGGATTCTAATCAAGAAAAACACTTCACACAATTGGCCTTAGTTGGTCTTTGTTTTATCCAAAACATCACAACTTACCAATTTCAAATGTACAAGGGTAGGAAACTTTTTCTCTTACATTTGACAAGTGTTTTAAAACTTCTTTAAGACATGTCTCTCAAATTACAATCTTGGAGTATGACTCTAAGACTTGTATTGGAACGAAGTATGACTCATCTTCTTGATTTAACCATTTCAACTATTCAAGATTCCTCTTCTTAGTCATAAGAATGCACTAAGATTTCCTTAGAGAACTAATTGTGCTATGGTTTCTTAATCATTAAGATGATCACAAAACTGATACTAAAGTAGTCTCCCATCTTTTCAGATTTGAGAACCTTTTATCCTTCTGCCTAAGTTGATTCTTCTTATTTGCTTTGCCTTACATTGGAACCTTTTCCAATGTCTCAGAGTTACACTTAAGCTTGTAAGTACAACCATATTTACTGAACTTAAGTAAATCAATACTTTATTGACTTTCTAGAAATCAATACTTTATTGACTTTCTTTCCAAAGTTCAGATTTCTGATACTAGCCGTTTACCCGCGCTAAGCGTCGGGTGCAAAGACTTTCTTTCTGAAGATAGTAATGTGATGATTAGTTTCCTTTAGACAATAAAACGAAAGTTCATTGTTATTTTTTGCATTTTCCTCCTGATTTGATTGGGCAAAATGCAAGAAAAAAGCAATGCACTTCCATATTTTTGTCCAATATAGCATCTTACTCTTGTTGTGGTTCTTTGACAAACATAGCACCGAATCATTTTCACTACATAATTCTACTCAAAATCCAAAACTCGACAAAAATAGAAGATTAAAGATTTACTTGAGAGTAAAATACAAAATGGTCCCTGTATTTTTTTTAATTAATTGCGTTGAGCCTAGAAAGAATGGGGCTCTAATGCATAAAATAAAATTGTAATGTTGTTATTGCTTGCATTTGACCCAAAAAAAAAAGTTAAATAATAATAACAATAATAATAATAATATTTTTCTTGTTATTTTAGAGAATTAAATTGTAATTTAATTAAAGTAATAATCTTCTTTAAAAAGATGGGCGAGGGTTGTCTAAATGAATTAACACTAACCATTAGAAAGTTTCATATAATACCGACCATGATGTACAACTCAATGGCCATACCAAGGATTAACAATGTGATGTTCATGTCATATGGACCATTAGGTACAAATGATCCAGACCCATAGTGTAGATCCACTCCACTCTACCCTAAACCTGAAATGTGTGAGTTGTAACAATGACATACGTGTAGTAATTACATACAAAAATTATAATTCATATTTGATATAACTTGCAACTAATCCATCACATACCTGATGTATATGCTAGGTTATGAATTTCTACTGTAACAATAGCATACGTTTAGTATATCCTATTGGTGTTTCAAAATAAAAAATTAAGACAAAGTAGAAGAATATACTACAAAACTAAATAAATATATAAATAGTGCCTAAATGACTAAAAAGTTATTAGATGTAATATAATATATAATTAAAGTATGTAATTATGTATAATCACAAATTAGTATGAAGTGGAATATAGCTTATTTAAATGTATAGAACTTACATCATGGTAGTATAAGATCATTCTTTGGTTTGTAAATTTAAGTGTTCTCCACACTATACCAGGCTACAAGTAACTAAACATATCAAAAGACAAAAATACCCTTGGCCTAAAAACATGAATCCTAAAGGATATGGGTAAACCTGATTGCTTTCTCCACACCCCTTTTTTCCTGTAAAGCCAGTTTCATGTGTTAATCTTGCATTTATTCCTCACCTTAAAGTAATAAATACAAGACAATGATCGTTATCATATATTGTAATTAAATGTTTTGATTATTACCTCTAATATTTTAATTAAATGTTTTGATTATTACCTCTAATATTGTATTTGTTAACAAAGCAATTTCATCATTATAAAACTTTGATTTTCTTTTAATGGCTTCTACAGAAGCTTTTTGTGTTTTGGACGTGGACCGTATTGCTTTTTCCTCCTCAATTTCAAGAAGCACATCAGTAATTTGTGGCATGCTATAAAATGAAAAAGAAAGAATCAAGTATGCGGAAACATTGTTATAAGGTTGATTGATAATAAAATAAACACTTTTGTTAAAATAATTACCATAGCCGATTCTTTCTTTTCCTCCACCAACATATTAGTAGAGATATTTGCAATCTAATTTTGTACTGTTGGGTATTCCTAGTTTGCCCTCTGAAACAATAATAAAATCATCATTATAAAGAAAATAATGAAAAAACCATGAATTTAAAAATTATGCAATATGCAATTTTAATGTGATGATTTAAGGTATGATTGATATAGTTGGATCTTGAATTAGATCTTCAGATAATGGGATAAAGAAATACATGTGGTTTTGAAGTCGGTAAAAAGTGGTAAGATAGGGGATGGTGCGGTGAAGCAGATGGTGAGGTGTTCGTCGAGTGGAAAGTCGTTTGAGGTCGTGAGAGAGATTTACCGTGAGAGATTTCTTTCAAATTTAAATGATATGTGTAAGAAATGAGCACAGTCGAGAAAGACATGTTCAAGCACAATGGAAACACTGGAGCATGATGTGCACTTATGCACAATGTTTAACATTTTGACAAATGTTAATGTTTACAATACCTCAGCCTCAAGCTTGAAGGTGTGCAATTGTGCACAGCAGCATAAAGTTGTATATTCTACATGTCCTTTTAGTTTCTAGTGGATGAAAAAGGAAGGCAACTAAGGCCCAAGGGTTATCACAAATTGAGAACTGTCTGAACAGAATGGTGTTAATTTCAATTTAAAATATTCCTCAGCCAATGAACTTAAAAATAACAAGCTATGAAACTTTAAATCTCATTGTATATTAAGCCGTGTGAGTATCATTATATCATCACTTGCAGTTGCATATGTGTGCAAAATTCGCGTTATGAAACAAGTATGGATGGATATGCAAATAGTAAATCATACATTTAATTTGAGACGCAATAATATTATAAGATGCAAGCAAGTTTTGTTGAATTTAGTTACCAGCCTTGCAGTTATTATATACTCTTGAATAAAAGGGATTCCAGAAAATACTATCCACCAATCCTATATAATTTTTACCAAACATAATTAATTGACAAAATGAGTGGAACAAGAGGGAAGAGATATTACTGAATCGCACTTCCAGCTCGTTGAAAGATTGTAGATACCATAACATCTTTGTTCTTGGGGTCTTTGATGGGTTTGATCTTCGATGCTAAAGTACCCAACTCAATATTAATAGAATTCTATGGCGCACTTCTGAAAAAACGAACAGGTAGCCCCAACAAAGAATAGGCTTCGTGTATCAAGGATAGAGAAAACCTGGGAATCAATAATACCACAAAACACCACAACGCATAGCATAACTAACTTCAATGAACAATACAAAATTAAAATAAAAAAAAAATCGGAATACGTACCTTGATTATGTGGTCAGGATTGTGGTCAGTAGACATGGATTCGACAAGGCCATCGAATGAGGCGTCGATTAAGGTGGAATCGGAAATAGTAAACAAGAACTCCAATACAACGTCGATGTTTGGGTGTGAATCGTAAAGGTTTGACGTGGGAGGGGACGGAAAAGAGAGGCTTTCGATTTTCTGATTTGGGATTTTCTCTTTTCTTTCTTGATGATCTTCCTTAACTTCCCCGAGAATCTTGGTTGATGGTGGTTGATCTAAGTTTTCTAGGGTTATGGCTACTTGTGTGACGGAAAAGGGGACTGCATCTTTGGCCGAAACGGATGAGAATAGGTTTAGTGTAATACGCATATGATTGGTTACATGCTTAATATTATTGTACATCAGCTAATACATATTGTACCTCTTAATTTTCAAGAAATAGGCAATATGCTTAATAATATAGTAAAGATATATATCCTTGACTAAATGATTAAAACCTCATGATCTAAGCTTATAGATTTGAGATGAAGTATAATTTCCTCTCCCTTAATTATAGCAAAACAAGTTTTTCCCAGTTGAAACCTTTTATTTTCTATAATTAATATTGCTAACTTGCAATACTTATCATAATTATCATGCTCCCACTAAAATGATGGTTATTAGCATAACACTTATGCTCCCACTAGCTTTGAAATGTACTCAGAAATTAATTGGACTTCTAGAAATCAATACTTTATTGACTTTCTTTCCAAAGTTCAGATTTCTGATACTAGATTGCTTTGATTAAACTTTATCAAAATCATACACCTTGCCTTATATAGCACACTTGTGTGTCTTAAAAATTTAAGAACTACGAAAAGGGATGTCGTAATCATAGTCTCGATTGTTTAGACCTTTGCCACTTCTCAGAAGTCCAGGTTAGTATGCCGGTAAACCACACATGCTCCACTAACGACTTTGAGAATGAAAATATTACAATTGCTATCTAGCTAAAATCTACTTAGTGAAAGAGTTTGCTTACCATCATTTTCATGAATCGGAGAGAAACCTTATGACACTTAGATTTACTGGTGTATGTGTTCTTATCCATGTAAATTGTCAAGACCATAGTCACAAGAGAAGGATAATGACAAATCCAAACTCATATGGACTGAACTCAATCTTGATTTCTTGCCACCTGGCAGCTCAAGGGCCTGTCATTGCTTCCAAGTTGTGGTGCAACCAATTGAGAACTCTAAGAACTCATATGCAAAGCCAACTTTAACTGGAATGGGCATAGAATATGTCAACATGATAGGTTATAAACCTCAAGTCGTGTGCTAGTGAAGAACATCAGGTTTTATTCTTGATTAGTTCTTGAGACTTTCAAGACTTTAAGACTCCCACTGTCCTCTTGACCTATAATACTCCCTTGTCAAACATCCAAGAGATAGTGTGGATTCTAATCAAGAAAAACACTTCACACAATTGGCCTTAGTTGGTCTTTGTTTTATCCAAAACATCACAACTTACCAATTTCAAATGTACAAGAGTAGGAAACTTTTTCTCTTACATTTGACAAGTGTTTTAAACCTTCTTTAAGACATGTCTCTCAAATTACAATCTTGGAGTATGACTCTAAGACTTGTATTGGAACGAAGTATGACTCATCTTCTTGATTTAACCATTTCAACTATTCAAGATTCCTCTTCTTAGTCATAAGAATGCACTAAGATTTCCTTAGAGAACTAATTGTGCTATGGTTTCTTAATCATTAAGATGATCACAAAACTGATACTAAAGTAGTCTCCCATCTTTTCAGATTTGAGAACCTTTTATCCTTCTGCCTAAGTTGATTCTTCTTATTTGCTTTGCCTTACATTGGAACCTTTTCCAATGTCTCAGAGTTACACTTAAGCTTGTAAGTACAACCATATTTACTGAACTTAAGTAAATCATGGCGAATAATCTTATCGATCTTTTTGTGGAGGACTTGACCAGTGCACAAGAATGTGTACTCGATCCCTTAGTCCGTTACTTGACTCACACATCCATGTGAACAAGTAATTAGTCTTAATTTTCCAATACTTGAAAGTTCTCATTCATCATGCTATACAACTTGCATGATTCCAAGTTCCGGTCTAATTGAAACTTGGGTGATGAGAATCTTTCCTTATTTGGTAATTTTAGACATTACCACAAATGAAAGAATCAATTTCATATTTCCATTCTTGCTCTTAATGGAATCTTTATAAGCAACATTTTTTCCTCAAATGCCATTGTAAGGATATTTTAAAATAAATAAAATCAAAATTTTTCCTTTTATTTTTAAAAAACCTTTGTGGAAGAACTTGTCCTTACAATCCATATGAAAACTTGTTGTTATGTATTCCTAAGCAATATCTCATAACTGCTAAGAAGTAGCTCAAGAATCCAATCTTCAAACTATGCGATAGAAACCCATCTACACGATCAAATTTAGCATATTCTTTCTTTAAGTTTCTTCACTTTTCTTTGATTCTTAAAACATCACCATGTTACCCAGTCACATCATGTATCAAGAATCTCAGAATAGAAACTTAGCAGAGTTAGATAGTGGACTTTACCTGAAGTAGAGTCAAACTTATCGACTTTAACATCCTTAGGTAAATTTGGCAGCTTTGCAACTAATGACCCTTCCTTTGGCAATATAAACATATGGTCCGTTTGATAATGGTACACAAGACTATCTCAAACTTAGCCTTTCTCTTTACCATTTGGTCAACCGAGTTGACTATGGCCGATCCCTTTCCACTGGGAAGAGAGAGCTTTACTAGATATCCAATGTCATCATTGTCAATGTCCATAAAGTTTTAGGAAGTTGATATTAGAAAATAGATAAGATCATTAAGGGTCTTGTCATAGTATGTTTCATAGGTGTTCCAAAAGAACTCACTATGTGACTTAGAAAGTAGTTGAACCACCGACTTTCTCAAGACTTTGACACCCAACTCTCCCGACTTGTCAATATGTGACTACATCTCCAAGATATGATCACACCTGGACCTTGCCTTGCCAATAGGGATTGAATGACCTTGAACTTGTGGGTTAGAGGAGGTTAAGGAAGTATGATTTCCAAAGGGCATCATCTTCATTTAAGAAGGCTTATTTCAAGAGATTTTGGAAGATCATAAATGTCTAAACTAGAGATCTTTTTCGGAGATATTCAAGATAGTTGATCTTAAGTCCTTAAGACACCCAATATGAAATATTAAGGCTAGGACCCAACAAACTGTTTTATAACTTAGAAGAGGGATGATATAATCAAAGCTATAAAATATTTGAAGGTAGGTGAATGCCGATTCACCAATTTCCACCAAGATAAATGAAATGAATTATTAGGTTTTAATTGGATTTGAAACTCCTAGATCTTTGAGATTCATTGAACTATTCAATGGCATGTTTCAATCTCAAGTGTGCCCTTTAGGTTTTGTGACTGGGATACCGAGGATCACAAAACAAGGTGTGAAGTAACCATGCAAATTACTTGGTACCCTTAAGTGTTTACCCCTCAATCGATGTGCCGGTTAACCACACACGCTCCATCGATACTATGATAAACATTAAGTTACCCTTTGCCTACCTTGTTAAATACGAGTTAGTGTGTCGGTTAACCACACACGCTCCACTAACCGACTTAAACAAAGTGCAAAGTGTAATTTCATGGATTAGCACCTTATTCACAATTTCCTAAGTAACTAAGATTGGGTATTATTAAGAGTTTAGTTACTTAGTATTTATCATTAATACTTTTAATGAAGGGAGAATTATAGTCCCATCAAACCCGTTTGGCTAACGACCCTCCACCAGTCAAGGAAGCGGTGGGTGAGAGTGGACACCCATTAAACTGATGGGTTTTGGTCATAAGACATCATATGTGCTCATACAAACCCTAATGCTTGGATCTAGGTTTCTCTATTGTACATGCTTTGAATCCAAGACTATAAACCCTAATTCTAGCATTCAAGTAATCATATTAATATGTAATTAGGTTTAAGATCATACCTTGATTGTTATGTAGCAATAACAATCCCAAATCTCCTTGTAATGACTTTGGAATGCTTAGAGTCACAAGTGTCACTCCTCTAATGGCTTACAAACACCAAGAGCAAATGGAGAAGGTATAAAGAGAGAGGAGAGAGGTTAGAATTCGTCCTTAGGACTCCTTGGGAACAAGTACACGAATTATAAAGCCTTAGGGTCTTTATATAGGTGTAGAGATAGGGTTTCAGTCATTATCCTTATCTAGTTGCTTATCCACAAAACAACCCATATGATAATCCTTGAATCCTTATCATAGTCGAATTCTAAGGCCTTATCACCTCAAATTCGTTCACCATATATTTAAGATAATCCTTACCTTATTTTGTAACTATCACATAATTACAAATCAGCCCCTCTAGTTTAATTAATTACACTTGATCACAAAATTAATTCCTAATTAATTATTGACCAATATTAATTAAACAATATGATTTCTCCTTTAATATATTATTCTTATAACATATTAATAAATCATAATATCCTCTCTATCTCTTTATTTATTTCTCCAATCAAGTTGCTTTGGTGAAGGCAACCCAAAAGGACCATGCACCATCGGGTCAAGTACATACCAAAATAGTTATGGACTTAGACACTAATCCAACAATCTCCCACTTGGATAAGTCTAATAACTATTCTGCGTATGACTTTAGATCCTGATCTGCAATCGTAGCTTTCTAAAGCTGCTGTCAACTCTGATCCTATCAGATAAACGTGTCCTTAGATAAGGGATCATATATTCCTCCATTCTAGATATCGTCTGAGATATGATTTCAAATCATTCTCTTTGTACTACTTCTCGATTTCTGATTTATGACGACAGACTAATTGAACAAATCAAATTAGCCCTAGCCCGGCCGAGCATTTACGTTTGTCATCACTAAACCATCGAGGGGCCCAAAAGATATCGCTTTTATCCTTCTTTCGATAAAAGGAACGGATAAACTTTGTTACAATGCTTGCTTGCACTCACTAACCAAATCACACACAACAATATGTTTTATAACACCAAGTTACTATTGTGTTTACATATTATCAATGTGAAACCGATTAGCAAGATACAACTCACACATCTCGGTTTCAAGAATATAAGATGTTATCATCTCACTAATTACTCGTGATACAATTCATGGAGTAATCCAAGTGAGCGTGGGGTTAATCCAATGCTCAAATCATATTCATAAGCACTCATGAACATTGTAGCAAACATTTGCTTATGTCTAATTCTCTTTAGACAATCCACACACCAATTCATGACAGTCTTCATTCATATCTACTTCCAACATATGAACGATTGTGGCCCGTTCGAA